GATAGGCAGTACACAGTCATTTTAAGAAATCATCTGTTTTTCACTCATGTGTAAAGAACAATGTCTTCTGAACTTTGGTAAATAATCCAGCTCAGTTGCCAGGCTACTTTCAAACTATCTCATTTCAAAGATTACTATGCATCATGAAAGCAAAAACAACATTTTCCTCATTCCTTTTGTCTGAAAACAAAGTGAAACATTTTTGTTTGAGAGAGGTGGTTTAATTACAAATAAAAGGAATTTCTACACAGTGTGGGGGAAAACTGAGGGAGCTCATCCCCTTTAAGAAATTATGTCAGTGAATTTCTTCACATTAGAAAAACCCATGGGTAAATAATGCAAAATAAGTTATGCGTGCTAATTCCCTTCAGTCGTGTCTGACTCTTTGTGACCCATGGACTGTAGCCCGCCAAACTCCTCTGTCCATGGGATTCTCCAGGCAAGAATACTGCAGGAGGTTGCCATTCCCTTCTCCAGGGTATCTCCCTGACCCAGGTACTGAACCTGGGTCTTTTATGTCTCCTGCATTGGCAGATGAGTTCTTTACCACTGTGCCACCTGGGAAGGCCAAAATAAGTTATACAGAGCACTTAAATACTAAGGGAAGTTATACCGAACCATGAAATGAGCTCTAATGTGACATTAAATATATACATACTAAGCTAATTCGTAACTGGTTTCTTAAGTCTTATGATCATATTCTGATCTCTGAAAGTGGAATTTAATATGATGAAACACAATGGAATTCTTCTTAAAGAACTACTCATATTATGGTATTTTTTTCTGCTCTTTTATAACCAGGTAAAAGAATCAACTAAAGAATCTAAAGATTTAGAATAAAGTTGCTGCCAAATATACAGACTCAGGATGCTCAAAAGGTATGCCCCACAGAGAAGCTCCCCTAGCAGGACCTCTATGATTTATTTACTCCTAGACAGTTCTCAACTTTGTTTTCACATGAGGCAATAGAGAGTCCACATTTTTAGTGAAAGTGAATATTTGAGCACTTATTGTACATGCAAGAATGCTCAGTCACGTCCGACTCTTTGTGACCCCATGGACTACAGCCCGCCAGGCTCTTCTATCCATGAAATTTCCCAGGCAAGAATACTGGAGTGGGCTGTCATTTCCTACTCCAGGGGATCTTCCTGACTCAAGGATTGAACTCACGTCTCTTGCGTCTCCAGCGTTGGCAGGTGGATTCTTTACCACTGTGCCACTTATTAAAGTGCAACACTTATTAAATATTACACATGTAAACCCATGTGTCTGAAAGCCACCCTATGAAGATGTTTGGTCCTTCCCATGTTCAGACAGGGACACAGATGCAACCTGGCCACGTTCCAGTGCAGGGAACGGTGCAGTTTGGATTGGAGCCCAAAGCCTGCACTCTCAGCTCTATACCACTGCCCTCAGGAGCAGTGGCCCATATTCCCTACCTAGTGGACAACAATCAGAATCAACCCCCAAGGTGTTCAGCATTTTCACAATACATTTCCAGAATTTAAAAATGTCAAGGGTTTTCTCACTTCAATTTGTTGTGGCTGTCATTTGTCATACTATATAGTTAAAGAATATTTATTGCTTTCTTAAGGCTGTCAATTTCCCACCCTTGGTTGACATGGGCAGAAAAAATGTAGTTTTAAAATCCTGCCTATAACTATTCTAAAGTGCTGAAGCACCCACTAGCTAGTAGCAGAAGGAAGACATGTACATTTCAGTCCAATCTAGTCATTTGTCTGTCTTGAGATCATACTCTGAAGTATCTCTTGAAGAAACTCATTGATCCCTCCTGGGATCATACTGGAGATACAGCCAAACATCTACTGGGGACTCTCAGGCTCAGACCAAGGCCAGGCTTTCAGAACTCCTCCTCCACCCTTGTCTTCAGATGGGGTGCTGCTCATGGCAATGGGCAAAAGGATCTAATAGTCTGAGTGGTGTCCTCTTGCTTCTCTAGATCAACTGCACTACTCAGACTAGCCACTTCTCCCTCTGCCACCACTTACAACACAAACACACACCTGGTATAGTCTGTAGCTTGGTCTCTTTGGCTTGTTCTGGGCCTAGCATTACTTGTTTGCTTACTTGGCCCCTGGAAGTGTGTGTCTCTTGTATGATCCTGGCCCATGGGTTCTGCCTTGCAACCTTCAGCTACATGGTAACTCCCCACCCCCCACTCTCCCCTATTCAAACCTAGAGCAAATGGCAAAATTTTCTGTCATTCCAAAAGAATATTGGAAGCGTCTGGTTCTTGTCTAGGCCATGAACCAAAGGTGAGTGAGAAAACCAAGCTTAGCCCCTCTTTTACAACTAAAACCACTAAATCACCAAGTTTAATTTGATGTTGTTTCTCCCACAGATAGGGGCTTCTCAGGTGGCAGAGTGGAAAAGAATCCACCTGCCAATGCAGGAGATGTGGGTTCGATCCCTGGGTCAGGAAGATCCCCTGGAGAAGGAAATGGCCACCCACTCCAGTATTCTTGCCTGGGAAATCTCATAACAGAGGAGCCTGGGGGGCTACAGTCCATGGGGTCACAAAAGAGTCAGACACAACTACTAAACAGACACAAGACTAAACAACAACAACTTCCACAAATTAGGTTGTAACTTAGAAAAATGAATCCCCTACTCCCACACCAAAATGCCAATCAGGGATCTTGTCATTTCTTTTAGATTATTTAACATATTTTAGCCCAGAGAGGAGAGACTGGGATGTCTCTCATTCTCTACTGTCAACTTAAAAAATATTCACAGCATAAAAGTTGAGGGTTATCTTTCATTTGGCAGGATTTTTTAGGACTTCAAGCCTGGAAGGTAGCATCTCAAGTAACACTGAGAGAACTGCTCTGAGGAGTTGAAGGGGGAGCTAGGATATATATGAGTTTTGCAACAAAGGGCAGGTAATCAGAACATCAATAGATTACTGCTAAAGAAAATCAGAAATTGCAAGGTAAAGAATTTAGTGCTTTCCAATGTACAGAAAGATGCAAGAGTCTGGGTTTACTGAAATCATCCCTCTGATGTGCACCTCAGCTATTTGTGACCAGCATCCCATGTTTTCGCACCCTGAGGTTCCTCAGGGTTCAGCCACTGGGAGCGGTCGCAGTCTGATGTCTGCCAGATGGCAAGTAGTCCTTCTCTCAGGCTCACGGGCTCACCACAGGCTGTGGCTGCAGCTACTGATGACTGTGACATCTTCTGTTTACTGACATGGCAGGAAAAGCTCCATTCCTCACCATTCACTCTGCCTCTCTCCTCCATCTTTATTCCATAATCCCATAATGACAAGAGGATTTCATTTCATCCTTGAGGCATATGGCCACAGATGGGCATTTATCTTTGTTTACCTTTATTGAAGAAACTCTGATACTCTAACCCAAGCTCCCCCTGTTTTGCTCTTGATGTGCTAAATTTGAGAAAATTGTCTCTTCCTCAATAAAGTTTGTCTTACAAGCCTGTTGCCATAATGCAAAATCCTGTTTCATATGGCAGAAATTGAATGTGAATTCCTTCTTTCTCTTTATATTCCTACTGTAACAATCCTATAAGTTCATCCCCACTCCAGTATTCTTGCCCGGAGAATCCCATGACCAGAGGAGCCTGGTGGGGTAGAGTCCATAGAGTCGCAAAGAATCAGACACAGCTGGAGTGACTGAGCACACACTGCACATGTATGCGTCTTTACCACTGAGATAAAACTACAAGGAATAGTTACCGTAATGTCAGAAAGTGCTCTTCATTTTATTTTAATCATTTAGCAACAGTTTGCTTTAGGTATCACTTCATTTCTGAGAAACTTTTACCATGGCCACTGTCATTTTATAGTGTGTTTAGTTGGTGTGGATATTCAGGGGTGAGAAAGTATCTTCCCATTTTCTCCCGGTATCAGCAACAACAACAGCAAGCCAGAAGCAAATGCCTAAGATATTAGCTTTCCTGAAGACAGAAAAATGAATAAAACACACCAAACAGAAGTAGTGTGATCCATGTAACTAACCATCAGTTCAGTTCAGTTCAGTCGCTCAGTCGTGTCCAACTCTTTGGGACCCCATGAACCACAGCACGCTAAGCCTCCGTGTCCATCACCAACTCCCAGAGTCCACCCAAACCCATGTCCATTGAGTCGGTGATGCCATCAACCATCTCATCCTCTGTTGTCCCCTTCTCCTCCTGCCCTCAATTTTTCCCAGCATCAGGGTCTTTTCAAATGAGTCAGCTCTTCGCATCAGGTGGCCAAAGTATTGGAGTTTTAGCTTCAGCATCAGTCCTTCCAATGAATATTTAGGACTGATCTCCTTTAGGATGGACTGGTCGGATCTCCTTGCAGTCCAAGGGACTCTCAAGAGTCTTTTCCAACACCACAGTTCAAAAGCATCAGTTCTTCTGCGCTCAGCTTTCTTTATAGTCCAACCCTCACATCCATACATGACTACTGGAAAAACCATAGCCTTGACTAGACAGACCTTTGTTGCTAAAGTAATGTCTCTGCTTTTTAATATATGCAGTTAATATGTTGTCTAACCATCAGGGAAGTGCAAATCAAAACTACAGTGAGATCACTGCCTGCTGTCAGAATGGCTAGTGACAAAAAGACAACAAACCATAAATGTTGGCAAAAATGCAGAGAAAAGGGGAGCCCAGGTATACTGCCGATGGTCATGTAAACTGGCACAACCACTATGGAAAAGAGAATGGAGATTCCTCTAAAAATTAAAAATAGAACTAGCTTATGATCTAGCAGTTTCACTTCTGAGTATTTATCCAGAGAAAAAGGAAAACACCAATTCAAAAAGATACGCACCACCCCTATATTGACTGCAGCATTATTCACAGAAACAAAGGCATAGAACCTAAGTGCCCATCAGTAGATGACTAGATAAAGATGGTGTGCTCCTGGAACCAGAGACAGAAAATGTACAAAAATCCTTACATTTATGTAAGGTCTCTATCACACATTAGCCCATTGCCCAAGGAAAATAGACTCACACCATGCTCCGCTAGGAGCCTGCCTCTGCAAGGTCTTTCGAGCCAGCGCCGGTGATGCTCACGCCCCGGAGGCTCACCAGCGAGACGGCCACTGCGCTCGGCCAGGACTGCAACCAGATGCCAGACCTTCGCTGCATCGTGTCCACTGGAGCTGCGCCACCAGAATCAACTACTACCACTCCTGCTGCTTCCTGGTGCGGGCTCGCTGCATTGTGCAGGTGGATATCTGCACCCCAAGCTGCCCAGCCACGGCCAGGGCCCTGGTCTAGGGTATCCTGCATCTTCAGAAGAACACCACGCTGAAAAGAAGCTCCAAACCTGGTCCTCCAAACCCAGGTCCGGCTGCCCTGCGGCATCCGCCTCATCTTCCCCAGAAGCAGGTAATTTATCTTGATTAAACTACCCCCCGGCCAACAAACGTCAAGAACATCAGTTAAGATTTGGAAAGTCAAAACAACCAACACATTCAAAAGCTGATTGGCAGCATACCACTCAGAAAGATTTTGTCATCAGAGAAACCTTTGAAACTAGCATTAATTCATGAATTCTGTGCTTCAGAGAACCAGGCCAGGCCCAGTTTTTCTAGTCAAATACTTGGGAATATCCTCCTTTCTCTCGTGCTGGGACACTCTTCAAGGATGAAAATGCTAACCCAAATAAGAATACATAATGCTCCAACCCCAAATTGTAGATATGTAGTTTTTCATGGTAACAACACTAAGCTCTCAAACAGATGTTTGTGCTCTCATATTCATAGCCGCAGTATTCACAATAGCCAAAAGACCAAAGGAAACCAAGTATCTATTGACAGACGTATTAACAAATTATGGTGACGCATACATATGTGTTTATATATGTATACAGATACACATACACAAACTGGAATATTATTTACCCTTAGAAACAAAGGAAATTGTGACATACGCTACAACATGGATACACCTTAAAAACATGAAACAGGCCAGCCACAAAAGGACAAATATTGTATGACTCCACCTCTGTGAAGTATCTAGAAGAGTCAAATTCATATAGACAGAAAGGAGGACACTGGTTGCCAGGGACTGAGGAAAGGGAAGACCAGGGAGTCAATGCTTAATGGGTTCAGAGTTTCAATCTGGGATGAGGAAAAGCTGTGGTAATGGTTGCACAGTACTGTGAATGTATCCAGTGCCACTGAACTGTACACTGAAAAACTGTTAAAATGGAAAAGCTTATGTTATATGCTATGTTACCACAACATAAACACATGCATACGTGCCCGTGTGCGCACAGGCAGAGCTGTCCTTGCTCTGAATAGAAAACGCATCCATGCTGCTGTACTAGATTCCGTGCTAATAAAGAACTGACTTTCCTTTTACAAAAAGCGCGCCATACCTTCACCAGCTGTGACCCCTTCTGTGCCTCGAGGTTGTGCTCTGTGGCCGCGCACACTGGGCAGCCAGACCCTCATCCAGGACTGGAGGAGGCAGAGGGGACCCGAGGGCCTGAGCGCGTCTGACGGGAACACCCACTCCGCTGGGGCTCTCTCCCTGTTCTCCCAGGGGGTAACTTCCGTTCGTGACCGGGGGAGGCAGAGGGGACCCGAGGGCCTGAGCGCGTCTGACGGGAACACCCACTCCGCTGGGGCTCTCTCCCTGTTCTCCCAGGGGGTAACTTCCGTTCGTGACCGGGGGAGGCAGAGGGGACCCGAGGGCCTGAGCGCGTCTGACGGGAACACCCACTCCGCTGGGGCTCTCTCCCTGTTCTCCCAGGGGGTAACTTCCGTTCGTGACCAGAGGAGGCAGAGGGGACCCGAGGGCCTGAGCGCGTCTGACGGGAACACCCACTCCGCTGGGGCTCTCTCCCTGTTCTCCCAGGGGGTAACTTCCGTTCGTGACCGGGGGAGGCAGAGGGGACCCGAGGGCCTGAGCGCGTCTGACGGGAACACCCACTCCGCTGGGGCTCTCTCCCTGTTCTCCCAGGGGGTAACTTCCGTTCGTGACCGGGGGAGGCAGAGGGGACCCGAGGGCCTGAGCGCGTCTGACGGGAACACCCACTCCGCTGGGGCTCTCTCCCTGTTCTCCCAGGGGGTAACTTCCGTTCGTGACTGGGGGAGGCAGAGGGGACCCGAGGGCCTGAGCGCATCTGACGGGAACACCCACTCCGCTGGGGCTCTCTCCCTGTTCTCCCAGGGGGTAACTTCCGTTCGTGACCGGGGGAGGCAGAGGGGACCCGAGGGCCTGAGCGCGTCTGACGGGAACACCCACTCCGCTGGGGCTCTCTCCCTGTTCTCCCAGGGGGTAACTTCCGTTCGTGACCGGGGGAGGCAGAGGGGACCCGAGGGCCTGAGCGCGTCTGACGGGAACACCCACTCCGCTGGGGCTCTCTCCCTGTTCTCCCAGGGGGTAACTTCCGTTCGTGACCGGGGGAGGCAGAGGGGACCCGAGGGCCTGAGCGCGTCTGACGGGAACACCCACTCCGCTGGGGCTCTCTCCCTGTTCTCCCAGGGGGTAACTTCCGTTCGTGACCGGGGGAGGCAGAGGGGACCCGAGGGCCTGAGCGCGTCTGACGGGAACACCCACTCCGCTGGGGCTCTCTCCCTGTTCTCCCAGGGGGTAACTTCCGTTCGTGACCAGAGGAGGCAGAGGGGACCCGAGGGCCTGAGCGCGTCTGACGGGAACACCCACTCCGCTGGGGCTCTCTCCCTGTTCTCCCAGGGGGTAACTTCCATTCTTGGTGCCCCCTGAAAAGCATCCTGACAGTGAGATGGCATCACAGGGGCTTGTATTAAACATTCAGAAGAAGCTAAAGCTTTACACTGTGAGGCAGGAAGAGACAAGAGCCAAGCTCTCCGGGCGCCCACCTCAACTCCTTACTGAGGAAGGGGAGTGAAGGGACCTGGTGGTTATGTTAGAGACTCCTCAGTTATACTTTCATCTCCTGTCCATATACCAGATCATATGCGTGCCTTCAGGCTTGGCCTCTGACCTGTCTTGGCAGTATTACATCATCTCTGGGCTCAAATGCCTTTTCAAGTGAATTGAAGTAAGGGTTAAAAACTGAGGTAGTAAGTCCTCTGACCTGCAGCCTTAAAAGGTTTTTTTTTTAAATATGGAATTGGAATATGACTAGAGATATATATTGAGGTCCAGTCATCCAGAAAGCCCCACATACCTGATCTTCCTTCTGTCTCCTCTGTCAACATCTCATCTGAATGGAGGACTAAGAGTTAAGCTTCAGAGGTGCACTTCTCCAGTGTCATAAAATATTATTGCGTGCATCTCATCTCTGGCTATTCTTTCTTAAGGGTTTTATAAGCAGTTGGTAAATTTCAAGTCTTGGGATGCAAACTTCTTAGCTGAATCAATGTAACAAATGGACTTTTTGACAAGTATAGATAAGTCCTGGTGTCTTTGCAGAGTTTGTAGATTTCTAATATGTCTTCATCATTCTAGTGCTCAGAGTGACAAGGTCTCAGACCTGAGACCTTTTGTGGAAGATTCAAGGAATGAGGCAAAAACAACACAAGTTGAACTGGAATGAAAAAGCATTTGAGGTAGGTTCACTTCAGTCTTGAATTAAACCTCTGAATCTCCTTTAAGCATCTGGCAGCAATTTCACCCACAAATGGCTTATAGTATCATTTAATTTCCCACTGGAACTTTGGGGAAAACAATGATACTAACAATGAAGTGAAATAACATATGCGTCAGCACCTACCTCAGTGCCTTGTGCAGTGTCAGTACTTGACTTAACTTGGAAAACAGTGATAACTTCTTTTATTAGATCAATTGTGAAGCATTTTCTATACTTTATAGCAGTGTTGAATGGGGATGATCATTTGTCTGTTGGTTGCTTCATCTGCTTCAGAGCATTCAGCCTGTAAGACTGGATTAGTTTCAAAGAGATATGACCTCCTGGATGTGGGAGGGAGGGCATGCACAAGGCTTCTACACCCAACCAGCAGAAAGTAAACTTAAATGACTCAATTTAGCTCTCTTTCCTCAATTCCAAAAATGATAATGCTTCAGAAATGGGACATATCTAAGTTTAGACAACAGGATGGGAAAAAAAAGAATCTACCTTTCCTCCTCCCCAGTCTGATCCATGATAGAATTAAAAATGCTAAAGAGCACACTAGTGACCCCATGGAAACACAACCAACTTTGGCATTATTTATTATCTTCAACTAGCTTAAGGAGAGAACTGCAGCCTCCTTACATATCATTTGCACCCTGAGTGCCATCCCAAGTGAAAGGAAATTGATAGAGCAAGGCACCTTTATTGTTAAAGCCTTGCTTTTTCAAAGGATTGAAACTTAAATGACAGGACTTGGTTTTATGAGACCTAAATAGAAAAAAAGTTCCCAAAAGATGCTGAATTCCCCCCTAGTCACAAGTTGCTCAACAAGATGATATGCTTCTTAAATTCCCTGAACTGCCTGAAAGTTTTTAATTTAACACTTTTGCTTTCAAAAGGACTTCATTTACTGTGTGTCTTTGGCATTACTTATTATCTTCAATTTTATTTTCTAAAACACTGTTGTCCTAGATTCTACTCTACCCTGGAGTCTATTTTTATCCTTTAAAATTGATTAAGTGGTTCATTCATTTGTTTCCTTCTATTTCCTAATTTTAGGTCTAGCACAAACAAAGCGTTGTGTTAGGGTATGCCTGATGAGATAATGGTGTCCTCTTATTGTTCGCATTCTTACTTCAGAAGCCCCCAGAACTATCTTAGAAATGTGCAAGCAGAGAGGAAACTGTGCAAACACTGAAAAAAGATTACACAAGGTATAGGTCTCATAAATGTCCAAGGAGAAATAGCTGATGCAATAAAAGCACATAATGGGGATTTGACCAACCCTGAACTATCTGAGGAGGCTCCAGGTGGAACGTTGCTCTGAGGTCTGAAGATGTGGACTGAAGTGAGCCCTGCTGTGGGGAGGAACACCTCTCAGCTGAAGGACTTTAAGACAGTGTGCAACCAGTGAAAAGGAGATGTCAGGCAAACCTGGACAGACAAGCAGGGGCCAGATCAGACAGACTTTGTGCCCACTGCAAAGATCTGAAATAGATCAGGATGTAATCCAACATGATTTTAAAGGATCGCTTGAGTGGCAGAAAATGGATTGGAATGGAAAAGTGGAAATGGAGAGACCAAGTAAATGGCTCAGAAGTATGGGTAAAATGTGAGGATGGTTTATCAAGGGCATTGATGATGGAGAGAAACATTCGAAAGATATGAAGTAAATTGGTCAGTTATGGTTGTGGAAGGTGAAGCAGAAGGATGTCTCCAGATTAAGAATCACCCCCAGCTCCTGGCATATGCCTCTAAATAAACTGAGATATCATTTGCTAAGCTGGGAAATCAAAAGTGGAAGGGG